TTGCCTACGTTATTGTTGAAAAGGTAGAGACTAAAGCAATTTAGAGAAAATGGGTTTTATAAATTCTAGAAAAACAGATATTCAAAGTACTTTTACTTAAAACTGTTCACTTCAACGGCAAAAGGTTGGATACTCTTGATCTAAAACTTTTAATCTGGTTTATACCTGTGAACTGTTGATTGTATTATTAGTTTAATGCCAAATTTACCTCCACCTTGGTGAACCTGGTGGACTGTACACTGTAAAAAAAATGTCCGTAGATTTTATGGTAAAAAACTGTAAAACCATGACAGTAAAAATCTGTAAACTGTAAAACGGTTTGATACTGTTTAATTTATGTTAAATCAGTGTCATTTAAAAAAAATTGGATAACTGTATTTTTTACAAATTCTCTCCGCAGGAAATACGTTGCCTTGCTCTTCCAGTGTTTTTATAACGGAAAATTCCCATAATATTTATTACAGTAAAACAGTGCAATTTTAGCGTTCATTTCCCCTTAATATTGCGATTATTCACTGCTGAATGTCTTTTCAAGTAACAATAATTTTCCGCTATATCTTTAACATCTGACACCGTAATTTTTGCATTAATCTAATGTAAAAATACAGTTTCCAAAATCAAAAATACTAAATTTTTTTCTGAAAATGGAAACGGTATCTCACACTTTACATTTACAATATGTACGATATTTGTATGTTTTTCCTGTAAAGAAAACAATTTGTAAATGCAAAATTAACTTATTATCTTAAAAAGTTCTTTGAATTTTACAGCAAAAAACTTTAAAGCCATGAAAGTAAAGATTTGTAAAGTGTAGAACGGTTTGTTATTGTTCAATTTATATTAGATCTCTGTAATTACAGAAGATAGGAATAACTGCCGTTTTCACATGTTTTATCTGAAAAAAATACATTTTCTTACTGTAAAGGCCTCTTCTATTGTTCATTTAACGGAAAATCACCATAATATTTATTACAGTAAAACTCTGGAATTTTAACATTTTGGTTTTTTAAATTAATATGATTATTAACCGCAGCATGGTTGCACATTTAACAACATTCAATGATTTTTTTTCCATGTGATGCTTTTGTGTTAGCATTAATTCCTTAAACAAAATACAGTTTCATAAATGCTAAAAATAGAAGCTGTATCCAACATTCATTACATGATATTTTTTAATGAATTTCATGTGAATCCAAAGAATGTATAATAAAAGACAACCCTTCAATCACCCATACATTTCTAAGAGCTCAGTTGAACTCGGTCAGCTTTTCTCACCATTGGCAACGTTGCACATCTGGTCACTCTCAGAATAAACAAAAATGGGCATAAAGCTAGAGCTGAGAGAGTGGCTATGAGTGTGGGGGCAAATGATGCACCATTGTACTTGAAGCTATCTATAGCTTGCTTAAAGAGCTAACCTGGAGAGCTCTAAGGCGTTTAACTTAAAAAGCTTGCTAAAGCTAAGGCGTCCCATTAGCCAGCTAGAATGTGCTGTTGTACTACTCTGCTACTGGATGAGGCCTTGCCATGAACCAGCGGGAAGCTACACTACCTGGCCAAAAAAAAGTCGCCACCAAAAAAAAAGGTCCTTCACTCTAATACTTTGTTGGACTGCGTATAGCTTTGATTACGGAACGCATTCACTGTGGCATTGTTTTGATAAGCTTCTGCAATGTCAAAAGATTTATTTCCATCCATTGTTGTATAAATTTTTCACCAAGATCTTGCATTGATGATGGTAGAGTCTGACCGCTGCACAAAGCCCTCTCTAGTACATCCCAAAGATTCTTAACTGGGTTGAGGTCTGGACTCTGTGGTGGCCAATCCATGTGTGAAAATGATGTGTCATGCTCCCTGAACCAGTCTTTCCCAATTTGAGCCTGACGAATCCTGGCATTGCCATCTTGGAATATGCCTGTGCCATCAGGGAAGAAAAAGTCCATTGATGGAATAACCTGGTCATTGAGTATATTCAGGTAGCCAGTTGACCTCATTCTTTGAGCACATGCTGTTGCTGAACCTAGACCTGACCAACTGCAGCAACCCCAGATCATAACCCCGCCCCCACAGGCTTGTACAGTAGGCACTAGGCATGGTGGGTGCATCACTTCACCTGCCTCTCTTCTTACCCTGATTCGCCCATCACTCTGGAACAGGGTCAATCTGGACTCATCAGACCACATGACCTTCTTCCATTGCTCCACAGTCCAATCTTTATGCTCCCTAGCAAATTGAAGCCTTTTTTTCCCGTTAGCCTCACTGATTAGTGGTTTTCTTACGGCTACACAGCTGTTAAGTCCCAATCCCTTGAGTTCCCTTCACATTGTGCGTGTGGAAATGCTCTTACTTTCAGTATTAAACATCGCCCTGAGTTCTGTTGTTTTCTTCAATTTGATCTTACCACACATTTAAGTGATCGCCAATCATAATCATTCAGGATTTTTTTTCTTTCTTTCTATCATTTCTTCCTTGAAAATGATGGGTCCCCACTATCCTTCCAGTTTTTAATAATGCGTTGGACAGTTCTTAACCCAATTATAGTAGTTTCTGCATCTCTTTCGATGTTTTCTCTGCTTGAGGCATGCCAATGATTTGACCCTTCTCAAACAGACTAACTTCTTTCCACGACCACGGGATGTGTCTTTCGACATGGTTGTTTAGGAAATGAGAAGCAAATCATTGCACCAGTTGGGGTTAAATAACTTGTTGCCAGCTGAAAGATAATCGCCCATTCAGTAATTATACAATTATACATATTTGCTTAGTTGAATCCAGGTGGCGACTTTTTTTTTGTCCAGGCAGTGTAGATAGCCACCAGCACTAGTACAGAAGGAAGAAACTTGAATTATTGGTGTAAAGAGTGGTCTGAATACCAGGATCAGTTTGGCCTTTTTCACTTAAATGGGAAGTTCAGAATTTTTGACATAGGGCCTCATTTTCAAGTGAGCCAGGATACAACTTCTCACTGAAGACAGTTTCAACATATTTCATTCCGTTATTCTAGTTCCAGGTCATCGCTGATGCTAATGCTAGTGAAAGTCAATAGGAATCTGCTAGCCTGTCATTAATAACAATCTTAACCACTCCACAGAACATCTGGGGCAAATCATTTATAACTTGGTAATGAGACACTTTACAAAGTTGTACTTCCTGTATTAGGCAGCGGGATTGATATCACCTGCTGCTACGTGCATGAAGGAATTTGATTACACAAATTTACAGTCATAAATAATGGTAACGTCTGAATGGCATGAGGATATATCGGGTTTTGAGGACAATTTCAAACTTTTTTCATCCAACTGTCTCTATATCTCTATGAACCGGAATACACTGACAAAAGTAACACTACCACCCAGAAGCAAAGTATATAATTCCGCAGCTGGTAAAAAACTAGTTCCTCAATAGGGCTCGGGATCAGCGTTGCATTGTGGGATGTGGCGGCCATATTGAGGGCTACGCGAACGTAAACATAGCTCTGATACAATGTTGTTTTTGAAAGAAGAGACGTAGAAGTAGAGAGAAAAAATATGTTAAAATCCCGAAAAGGATCTGGAATTTACCGGGACACATTAAATAGAGAAGCCACGGACCGGTATGTTGACAAAATCAGCATTATTAATAATTTGGATCCATATGAAGTTCCAAACAATGAGTGGAGCACCGGTGAGTGAGCGCCTATACTTTAAAACAGTTCTGAAGCCACAAGTCCTTGGAGTCTCATGTGCAGTTCATGAATGGATGGGTTCAGGAGCTGCAAATCATAAAGCCAGCAAACAGTGGGAACACAGTAATCCGTACGAAGGTAAGCTGTGCTTAGACGAGCTCTGGAACCTGCTAGTTTAGTTACTGCTAACCGCTAGTGCTAACAACCACTCACGCATGTAATGTACTTTTAACTAGCTGCTATGTGTTTCAAAGGTGTAGTTAGTAATGTTAACTGCCAACCCTCCCCAAACCCTCCGGGATTTCTCATGTATTTGAGCCTTTTCCTGCTGCAGTTTTTTATTATTTTCCCTTAAGAGATCCCAACTTTGAAGGAAAGAAACAATGTAGGCTATAAAATAAAACCGTGCATCATTAACTTACCAGAATGAAAATGCAGGGAACACACTCTCATTGACATTGGGATACTGTGGAAAGTTAAGTTCGGTCGTCTTACAGCCGCGATCCAAGCTAGCAGACGACTCTTTATCTCTGACACTTGGGGTGCGTCTCAATTCGCAGGCTGCGTACTTGGTAGTACGCATTTTGAGGCCGGTGACGTCACAACGCTGCGCGGAGGCCGTCCCATTTGGCAAAAATTCTGAGGACGCTTAAAATGCAGCCTCAAAATGCGTCCTCCTTTTCCCCGAATTCTGAGGATGCATCGCTACCGTCCTTAGTGGCCTCGCCTCCCGCAAGATTTCCCGAGGTGCTTTGCGCGCTTTTTTTTTTTTTTTTTAGTTGAAGAAAAAGAAGAAGAAGAAGAAGAGAGAAAAAAAAGGCGGAAAAAATGGAAAGCAGTAGCAGCGCCGGCAGTACTACGATGGAGTACACTTTTAAATGTGAGTATTATTTTTGTTTTATTTTACTGAACATGTATTAAAATACATGACGGTAACGGAGCCACCGGGATGTGTAGACCAGCTAAAGCTAAAGCTAAGAGCTAACCTGTTTATACGAGACGCTCAACAACAATTGAAAGCCTTCATAAAAATGTCACAATTATTAACCTACATCTTGTAACTTTGCTGATAGCCCTCACTAATCGGAATTATTTATTCTCATACAGTTTATTACACAGGATTAGAACTGTCAAAGCTTAATGCAGCTGAAGAAATAACATGAGTCCAGCTGTACTGGGCTGTTAATACTGTAAACATTTTGTTTTAATACTCAATAATGTATAGTTATTTTACAATACAGTAAAATAAGGTTTAAAGTATAATTCACTTGAAGAACAATGCCGGTGTAATTATACAGAACAGTCATTTTGCCTGTTGACTTAACAGAAATATGCTTTACATGTCATTTTGTTCCAGGGAGCAGGGAGCAGACAGAGGAGTTGATCAAACTCCGTGGGCAAAACGACCACCTTTTCACCGGCGCCAAAAATACTGCAGCAGTTGGTTGGAGGTAAGAGTTGAGGCATAATTCCATATACATGTTGCATTTCTATGTAAAAGTCACACAAGATAAAATAAGTCCTGTTCAAACACCAACGTACAAATATAATCTTTTGATCACATGATATGATGCCCAGATGCCCCTTTTTATCAATCTTATATTTGTGATAGAAGTGATCCTAGTGTGTTTATCTCTTCTCATTTCTCTTGTTTAGAACAATCCTGCAGAAAATGGGCCTGGAGGGAAAAGTTGAGCCACAACAGGCCAAAAAAAAGTGGGACAACCTAAAAAAAAAATACAAAGTATGTTCAGGTTTGGATAATGTAATGAAATACACACACACACACACACACATATATATATATATATATATATATATATATATATATATATATATATATATAGATAGATAGATAGATAGATAGATAGATAGATAGATAGATAGATAGATAGATAGATAGATAGATAGATAGATAGATAGATAGATGTGTGTGTAAATGTGTAGGGAAATGACATCTTACATATATTATATTCAGGTTCATTTACACTTTGAATTAGCTTGAAAAAAGTCATCTCAAAGTTATTATTCCAAAGTCGTCTCTTTTTCTGTAGAATGTTATTAATCTATCCAAATCATGAAACACTCCTTTTTTCTAGGTTTAAAGAAACACTACAGAAAATTGCATCTGTTGACAAAAATTGTTTTCCTCTACTTTAGGAATGCAAAGATCCAGGGACTGGGCAGGGGGTCAGTGGGAAGCCTACTGCTGCCACCTGGCCCTGGTTTGTCCTCATGGATGAGGTATTAGGACAGAGGCCCTCTGTTGCCCCACCTGTCCTAATTGCCTCCATCCCTGAGGACACACCAGTGCCAGGTGCTGCAGAGGCTGGGCAGCATCAGGGCGATGATGAGGAAGAGAGTGAGGATGAGAGGCCAGGAGAGAGGAGGGAAAGGAGGAAGAGAAGAAGGAGGAGTGACGAGTTGCTTGAATTGATCAGGGAGGATATGAGATTGCAGAGGGAGGCGGAGGAGAGAAGAGAAAGAGAGAGCCGGGAAAGGATGGACAGACTGTTTACTTTATTGGAGAGGATGGTGGACAGACGTTAATTTTTGTTGGTGTGTTCTTTTTTTTCGTTGTTGCTGTGTTTACAAGTTCAAGTTATGTGTTGCTGTTATTAAATTAAATTATTAAATTGTTTATCAAAGTTATTGTTGTCGGTGTGTTCTTAAAGTCTTTTAACCTTTTTACATCATCTGTTTCATCACTTCTTGACAATTTAAGTAAACGTAGAACAATTCTCAGTGACAACATCAATTTATTTTTTGAGATGCAGTTATAACAAACTATTAAAAATATTTTAAACTATTTACAGTCAGTTTTAAATACTACTTACAGAACATTTAAAAGAACATATATATACAATTTCGACTGAGCAGGAGTCCCTGGTGGTGCTGGTCTGGATGCGATGCCACACAGATGACCTTGGAGTCTTCTGACTGCGAGTGGGACATCATCTGGGGGGTGGAGGGGGATGCCTCTCTCCACTGTTCACCACATCGTCCATCAGGGTTTGAAGGGTTGACCCAAACGACGGCTGCCATGTTACTAAAAATGTTTAAGAAGACACAGAAAATGACTTTACTACAACTGTTTTAATAACCCTGAAATGAGAACAGCTAAAATGTGATTCTACTTGCCATCTAAATGTAATCATGGTCGGGCAGACCCTCCTCCAGGGCAGACACCTTGGCAGACAGCTGGTCCCGCCAGTGAGCACCACTGACTGCCTCCAACACGTTCTCCCCCTCATCCTCTGGCATGTCCTCTGGCATGTCTGCTCTTCATCCTCTGGGGCCATGATGTCACCAGCTCCCAGGCAGATGTTGTGCAGGACAGCACATGCCGTTATGACCTGTAGAAAAAAAAAAAGAGAAAAACATTTTATAGTATATTTGAAGAAATTAATTTAAAGCTTTTTATCATTTATCTATAAGCAATAATTCTCTCATTTAGTAACATACCTGAGGCACAAAGGTGTGGTGCACCTCCAGCGCTTGGAGGAAGATGGCCCTGAACCTCGTCTTCATCATCCCAAAGGCACGCTGTATGATGGAGCGTGCCCTGGAATGATGGCTATTAAAGCGCAGGGCTCCCACACCTTGTACCGGCCGCTTGAAAGGAGTGATGAGGGGGAGTGGGTGTTGGAGACACGGGTAACCACCATCTGCCAAGATGAAGTGGCCCGGAGGAGGGTAGATGGCCCGCCTATACAATGGACTGTTTCGGAGCACTCTGGAGTCATGCACCGACCCCGGCCAGCCCACGTACGTGTCGATGAAGCGGCCCTGATGGTCACCAACTGCCTGCAGAATGATGGAGGAGAACAGTTTCCTGTTCCGATAGCATTGACCATCAGGACCGCTTGGAGGCTTGATCCTCACATGGCAGCCGTCGATCGCTCCAGCAGCTTGGAGAAAAGCTCTGTGTCCTGCCAGCCCTTCAAACCCCTGGGTTACTGCTGCCAGGTCTTTTGCAGTTTTGGGGAGGCAGATGACTCGGTGGCGGATGGCCACCACCTCCTCAGTAACCCGGTGGACGATGCGGTGAACTGTGGAGCGAGGCATCCCGAACACCCTAGCCACCACTCTGTAGGATGCCCCACTCACTAGCCAGAAGAGGAAGACCAAGGTCTCTATTGTGGCCCCCCCATCCATGTCTTCTTTCCTGGCAGAGAAGGTCCAGCAGCACCGCCAGAGACTCTCTGCTCAGCCGAAAGTCTGGTCTGGTGTTTTCATTATTAAAAAATATTTGGAGAACGGGAACGTTCAGATTGATCCGGCAGTACATCGGCCTGGTCTGGAAAGAGAGATGAAGGTTGAGAACAGGATTAGATGAGAGCAATTTCATTTTAGCTGATACAATTCTAGTGAATGTTAACCCCTTAACGCCTGGTGTTGCCAATTTGGGACCAAACAATTCTGGCCTTTACTTATTTTACTTAATCTAGAACCACTATTTAACCTATTTTTTCGTTTTTATATTTATTTTACCTATATTATTTTTCTGCTATATAATTGCAAATAAAATCAGGCAGTAAGTGGATAACAATTTAGACAAATAAGGATTTATTTCTCAATAATACAGTATGCCTTCTCCACACAACCTTAGTGATAGTGAAAGTGGTGATTTAAGTCAGTTATTTACAGGGATTGGAAACATTTAACTATTCAATTCAAATTACTAAAGTTACAAACAAGCTTATACCAAGTCTTAAAAATATATATTTAAAATTTGATATTTAATGATATTCATTAATCTGCTGACAAGTGTTTGATAAATAACTGGTATATTCTGATCATTAGCAGACCCTAGTGGGGGAAAATAATAAAGGTAAATGTTACCTCTCCACTGCGCTCTGCCAGCCTCAAATAAATCTGTCGCCGGTTTTGCTGCCGCCGAATCCGACTCTCCTCCTCCAACATCAGGTAAATAAAATAAAATAAAATAAAAATTGCAGTTTCCATTTTGCTATGCTATGCCTGAATCAATAATCAATTGTCGGATTAATGGCGCGGTTTTTCCCGGGCTTTGTGTAGACGTGATGACGTCGTGACGTAACCAGGAAGTGCTCCAAAGGCTAGACCGTCCCATTTACCAATGGCTGAGGATCCTCCGGAGCAGCCTACCGAGGCTGGGTCCTCCGGAGGCTAGGTAGGCTGCGTCCTCGGAAGTACCCAGCCTGCGAATTGAGACGCAGCCTTGGTCTCCATGGTTGCGCCTCCAGGCAGGAAAGCGCTGGAAAGTTAACCCATTTTCTATGTTTTTCCCATGGCGATCATGTGTTGCGCTGTTACAGCCCACAATACGGCAAGGGTTTACCATGGTTGAAATCAAGTTAAGGTGAAATTAATCAAATTAAAACACGGCTGAGAGGGAGTACAGTACACGGTAGTCATGACGACCAAGCCCTATATGTAATGGAACATTTGTCATACAAGGCTAATTTTACTTGTTTAACATACAAGTTTACCAGTTGAACACAACATTTACACAGATAGGCTTGCTGATTTGCCTCGGATGTTGTGTGGAGTGGATAACATTGGTTTTAATGACAGGCTAGCAGATTCCTATTGGCTTACACTAGCATTAGCATCGGCAACCTCCTGGAACTAGAATATTGGGATGAAATATGTTGAAAATGTCTTCGGTGATAAGTTGTATCCTGGCTCCCTTGTAAACTAGGCCCTATGTCAAAAATCCTGAACTTCCCCTTTAAGTGAAAAAGGCCAAACTGATCCTGGTATTCAGACCACTCTTTACACCAATAATTCAAGTTTCTTCCTTCTGACTGTAGCTATCTGCTGCTAAGATGCAGGACAGACGGAGTGAGGGATTAATTTGTTTCTGCAGTGATTATATTTCTGTAAATAAACTTGTGATAAGATGTGTTTGTTTACTCTCTGGCAGTGATGTATATATATGTATATGTGATGTATATATGTGATGTATATATGTATATATATATGTATGTATGTATATATATATATATATATATAGATGTATACATATATATATATATATACATACGCCATGCCATAACTGATTTACTCCCAACCTCAATATATTAATACATATATATATCATGATGCCAATATGATATATATATATATATATATATATATAGCCTATATATATATATATATATATATATATATATATATATATATATATATATAATTTTATACCGCTTTAATTATTTTCTTGTAAATATAACTTAAATACAACTTGTTTAAAAAAGCATCCCAGAATATTTTTCCCCCGTCTGCAGCTGGGCCATCATTCCACAAAGTAAAGCGCTCAAATTTAAACTGGCCAACCAGCGCACTGCACTTGGCTTTGTTCCAACAGCACTGACTGTTACGTCTGTACAACAGCAGACGAGCTACAGCGGCGGCAACTTTGCATCTTTTCACACGGAGTATTACTTGAATTACTTTCTAAAGTAAGAGTGGATTTGTCTGCCTTTTGAATCGGGAGGATTTTGCTGAAGACACTGCACATCTTCGCTTATTTTGGTAAGTAAAAAACTTTGCATGGAGTAACTATAAAAGTTGCTTTGGACTCCCGTTTTTTCTTTTTATTTTAACTTTAAAGCTATATTGAGTGGTTATTACTTCGGTGTGCTTTATAAGAGCATGGAGTAACTATATTAAAGTTAGCAAAGGATAAGAGGTTTAACTTATGTCTAGAATATATGTTAGCCAACCTAGACTTTGAAAAAAGCCTGCTAACATCCATCGCACCTGCTAACGTTTTTTTTTTTTTTCCATCCAGTCTTTGCTTTGGACTCCCGTTTTTTTTTTTTTTACTTTGCAGCTATATTGACTGGTTATTACTTCGGTGTGCTTTATAATAGCACGGAGTAGCATGGAGTAACTATATTAAAGTTAGCAAAGGATAAGAGGTTTAACTTATGTCTAAAATATATATGTTAGCAACCTAGACTTTGAAGAAAGCTTGCTAACGTTTTTTTTTTTTTTTTTTTTTTTTTTCACATCCAGTCTTTGCTTTGGACTCCCGTTTTTTTTTTTTTTTATTTTATTATTATTTTTTTTTTTTACTTTGCAGCTATATTGACTGGTTATTACTTCGGTGTGCTTTATATTACACATGTATTCCTGTAACATATGTGGAGAATCATCTAGGTCTGTGAAAGACTATGTTTTACACTGCAAACTGCATCGTAATGAGCCCAGGTGCATTTTTAAATGCGTTGTTGCAGATTGTAAGCAGGTGTTTTCAGGTTATGCAGCTTTAAAGTCTCACTTTTACCGTCACCATTCTGGTACTACAACAGTGTATAAAGATATGACTTTAATCGGATTAAAATGCACAGTTTCACTGTGTGAATGGCAGTGTGAGGGAACTAAAGCTTTGATTGCTCACTTAAAGGAACACATTGATGAAGGACATAATGTGGCATGCCCAGTGAGAGGATGCAAGGTCATGTTCTCTGTAAAATCCTCACTTACCTCTCATATGTCTAGAAAACACAGACATTGCTTAGAACATGTGATTTGTGGACCTGTCAAAGACACTCAAACTCCCACTCAAAGTCCCACTGCAAGTGCTGTGAGACAGGAAGCTGCCAGTGTCTCAGATGCTGAAGACCCTGTTGTGGATGAACCTAATTTTAGTGACCTGTATCTCAGAAATATATGTATGTTTTACATGAAACTACAGGGGCAGCACCTACTTCCAGCATCTACCATTCAAACCATTGTTGAAGAAATGCAGAATATACACGAATTGGGACAGATGTATACTTTAAATAAGATAAGCTCACATCTGAAAGACATGTCAGTTTCAAATGAAGACATTGTAAAAATCTGTAATATAGTTAAACAATCTGACCTGTTCTCAGCTTGTCACACAGGACCCATGAGAACTACTTACTCTAGAGACCGGTGCTTCAAAGATGTGTTCAAATATGTGGAGCCCAAAAAGATTTTTTTGGGTAGTGATGAGAATAGGACAGACAGATTTGCATACTATGTTCCTGTGCTAAATACTTTGAAGGGTATGCTGGAATCTGGTTTTTGGCAAGGTCTCTTTTCCGTGGATCATAATGAGGTTTCCAAAACAGATGTACTCAGTGATTGTTATGATGGTAAGGTGTTTCTGTCTAACAAATTCTTTAAAGAAAATCCAAGTTGTCTCAAACTGGTTTTATACCAGGATGCATTTGAGGTAGTGAACCCACTTGGTTCTGCAAAAAAGAAGCACAAGATTTTGGCCGTGTACTTCTCCCTACTCAACATACCCCCTCACGCTCGATCAAATGCTGATCATATGCAGCTTGCTTTACTCTGTAGAGAGAAGGATTTCAAGGAATTTGGCCACGGCAGAGTTTTTTCTGAACTCCTGACTGATCTGAAGGTTCTAGAGGAGAGCGGGATAACAATAACAGACAAATCTGTTGTGAGAGGAGCTCTCTACTGCATTGCTGGAGACAACCTAGGCTCTCATTGTATTGGTGGTTTCACTGAAAATTTCAGTACATCTGAGTTCTTTTGCAGATATTGTCTTTTAACTCGAACTGATTTTCAGGGGGTTGATCCAGCCATCTGTGGACCTCTGCGGACCCCAGAAGCATACAGATTTGCAACAGAACAGCTGGAAACAGAAGATCTACCAGAAGTACAAGGGATAAAGTTCAGGTCTGTCTTTAATTCTTTACAAAACTTTGATGTTTGCACACCTGGCATGCCTCCATGTCTTGGTCACGACATCTTCGAGGGTGTCCTCTCATACGATGTTGCACTTTATCTTAAGTTCTTCATCGGTAAAAATAAATGGTTCACCTACACAATTTTGAACAGGCGTATCAAACAGTTTAGGTACATAGGAGCAGATGCTTCCTCCAAACCTTGCGAAGTCAGTCCAAAAACAATGAAACTTAGTGGACAAGCTGTTCAAAACTGGAATTTTTTGCGACTTTTACCTCTCATAATTGGAGACAAAGTGCAGAACCCCGAAGATAATGTGTGGCAGTTAACTTTGCAGCTCAAAGACATTGTTGACCTCATATGTGCTCAACAAATTTCTACAGCACAGGTTACTTATCTAGATGTTCTTATTAAAGAATATCTGGAAACCAGAAAGGCACTGTTTCCAGAGGTCAAATTGAGACCGAAACACCACTACTTAAGACATTATCCAGGGCTGATCCTGAAATTTGGCCCTCTCATCAGGCTGTGGACCATGCGTTTTGAGAGCAAACATAGTTACTTCAAAAGATGTACAAGACATCTCAAAAACTTCAAGAATCTGTGTTTGACTC